TAAAATCCTCAGCCTAACCCACAGAAAATGTCGAAGTAAACCCAATATATGAATACTTCCTCCTCTTTTATAGAAGAATAAATATGGCCGTTCTTAACTCCATCGGGATCAAATCTTCTCACATACCATTTACCTTTACAACAAGAAATTTGATTGGCTGTTTATAGTAGATCCAATCTGATTGGTGTGACATACATACATCTCTCACTCACTCACTCACTCACTCACTCACGCATCCATTGACCCGTCCATAACATACCCGACATGCCGACTAAGAGGTATTTTTTTTGCAAAAAAATAACTCAATGATGAGGTCATATGAGAATAAATTTTCCTTAGCAACGGCTCGAAAAGATCGGTTAATGGACCCTTAAGGTTAAAAGTCAGGCGCCCTCATAGCTGTTCAGACCCTGTGTTGTCATTTAAACTTTAGCTTTGATAATACCTTCTATCATAAGCAGAACTTAAATAAGCCATGCTAACTTGTACTAATCTACGCGGTTCTGAGACCTGGAGAGTGACAAGATCCATATCAAACAAGCTGCAAACCTTCACTAATCAATGTCTAAGAAAGATCTAAAGATATACTGGCCAGAGAAAATCAGCAACAGGGAATTTTGGACAAGAACAGAGCAAGAATGTATTCCAGCAGAGATCGTCAGTTACAAATGGAATTGGATTAGCCACACATTGTGGAAACCAAAGTCTGATACAACCAGACAGGCCCTTGAATGGAATCTGCAGGGTAAAAGGAAGGTAGGAAGACCAGTGAAAACCTGGAGGAGGTCAGTGGAAGAGGAGCTCAAAGAAGCCAACATCACCTGGACTAAGGCAAAAAGAACAGCCGCGAACAGAGTCCACTGGCGCAGCATTGTAACCGCCCTTTGCTTCACCAGGAATGTAATGGCCTAACTACTAACTTAAGAACAGTATCATGTGCACCAAAACGTTTGTTGATATTTTGTTAATCAATTATTGTTTCTTTTGTAGCCATCAGTGCTCGTGAACATGCTTCGACAAAGAAACAAGCTGCCCAAAACACTTCACTAAGTCTTGTTCGACAGTTATTTCATATGGGAGTCTTAGAAGCCGCTGAGCCAGGCCAACTTCAACCAAAGAGAAAGAAAGTTGATGAGGTAAATACTAAATAAACCCTTTGTAGTGTGTGAAGTGGCCAATGTCAAGGACAAGTAGGTTCTTTTAACTTTATGACATCTCTGAAGTGTGCTTTTAAATAATAATTTTAGGAGAGGGTGCTTAGAACTCCTAAAAGAATAGGTTTTGACAAAATTCTTTTGCTGTCCAGATTGAACCATATGATGTTGGAATCAGTCCTGAGATGGAACAGCAAGTTGGTAATCTACTTCAAAGTCTTGAAATTCAACCAGTCCCTCAGGTGAAGTGCTGTTACAGTACATCTAAATTAAAATCGAGAAATTTTACATTTTTCTTTTCTCACAAGTCATACAACTGAGAATGAAGGTTACAGGTTATGTGTGCGCAACTTTGGTACATGTAGCTTTGCCTATTTTATGCCTATTTTCTAGCAAACCTTGTGTTGAGATTGTTTTTATAAGCATCCACAGTACTGTGTACAAGACTTGAGATGGAAAAATACCCAGGGGGCTTGGGGAACACTGCTTCAAGCTTGTGATTAACATGCTCTTGCTGACTTTTGCATGCCATAATCTCATAGCACTGGTCAGTAAATCCATAGAAATGCATAGTTAAGTCTAAAAACAATAAATGGCAGAGTTGGGCTTACTGTAATTACATAGGGTAACTGGGAGTGTTTACTCTCTAGTTTTCTTCATAGAAAGAGTTCACTCCATTTGCAATAATTATGCAAGTACCAGGCATTCTTGACATACTGGTTTTCAATTTGTGCGAGATTGTTTGGTCTAATAACAAAGGTGCTAGGAGTGTGCACTTTCTAAAAGCTTATTTCATAGAGAGAGTTCACTCCTGTCAGAATATTAAAGATTACCTTGGTACAGTAGTGTCCAATTTGTGCAATGTTGTCCTGTCGATCACTAAAGGATGTTGAGGAGTGTATATTCTCTAATACATTTCTCTCCATCTACAGTATACGTACAGCGTAAAAGACAACCTTGACACAGTTCAGTTCAAATGTGCAAGATTGTTGGGTCATTCTCTCCATATATGAGCTTTAAGAGAGGTAAGACTGCATCCTGAAAGTGACAAAAGAGTTTGTTTCCCATGATCATCGCAGTACAGCTGGTGGGCAGAAAATGGAAGAATATCAGTAGTTGTTTCAATTCTCCAGAGTATAATGTTGATGGAGAAAGGAAATGAAAATTTTAGCATTGAATTTGCAATCTCCTTATCTGCCACAGTTGTACTGTCAGATTCAGAACAGTGTCAGATACAACTGAATTAAATAGTAATTATAGCATTTTTGCTTGCTGTAGGTGCAAGCCAAAATACTGCAAGATTTCGACTGTGTTTACTTTTGAACACTAAATTAAGACATGTTCATTTACAAAACCAGCTGCATAATGCGTATCTTAGGGCTTCATCTTTGTCATGGTTACAGTGAGAAGCCTTTGGGTGCACATTGTGCAAATGATGTAAATACTGACAGCTGTATCTGACACTGTTCTTGTCTTGAACAGGGGTGTTGTAAAAAATGTCTGCTTCAAGGGTGTAGTCTTGCCTCTTCATTATAGCTTGTGTCTGAGGAGAATGATCCCATGAGAGAAGTGCAGTGTATTTTGGTTAGCTAAGGTAAAGTTACTTATCCATCTTTGTTTTGAAGCAATTTAACGTTTTAATTGGTGTTAGCCAAGGTAAAGTTATTTAACTATCTTTAAGCTGAATCAGTGTATGTGTCAGTGAAGAGAGAGACCTTCAAAGAGTAATTTGAAAGTGAGAAAAATAGTTATAAGTTACAGGATGTGGTATGCAGCAAATTAATTTGTTGTTACTCTGATTATCAGTTGAGTAAGGCATGACGAAGGTTTGGTGACCAGGTTTTAATGTTCAATTTGTGTTGTTGTCACGGGCAACTGGCTCTGTTTCCAGTGGCAACTAGTCAGCCTTTGGCATCACTGGCAGCAAAGTGCGTGAAATTGCAGGTGACGATATTGTTACCGGTACCATTGAAAATGAGGAAAGTTGCCTGTGACAACACTGTAATTGTAAGTCGAAAACTTCTTCACCAAAGCTCCATTGCACCTTACTTTTAAAATTGATAATTGTAGTAAGTGGTCATCAGAGTAGATGTCAAGAATCAAGTATCAAATAATCTATTCAAATCTGGCTGTAGTAAAGGTTTTCACCACCAGAAGATTTGGCACATAATCTGTGGTTCTTATGGCCCTACACACTGAAATTGATACGTGTGTAACTAAACTAAATTAATGTAAGAAGCACAATTCGAGGCTGCTAAGGAGAGATGACCAATGAGGTGAGGTTTTCAAAGGTAAGGTGTAACTAAGTAGGTAAGTATATAGCAGTAAGTGAAGTGTTAATTGCTGCACCTGCAAAATACTAAAGAAGGCGCCTTTAGCCAAACTTAATCTTAATGTATTTTGTCCAAAACCTGGCCAAACTTAGTCTCCCACGCAGATGCTCTTAGGGCTTGCCACACAGGGAGGCTACACCAAACCTAGATAAGGCAAATTGTATAGTCTGGATCCAAACAATCTTTCACTTGTAAAGCACTGATCTTCAGTGCTGCTTCATTTCTAATGACGTCTTATATCCAGAGTTGCTTGACCCTTCCCTTTGAGAGAACTTTAAAAGGTAGTTATCAGTGCCCTTGTCTTTAGGCATATGGCTCTGGAACTATTATCCTAGTTAGGAACCTAGTGTAGCCAGATCTGAATAAATTCACACATGGAATATTGAAAGATTCACTGTTCTACTGTATGGCTTGGGACTAAACCATTCAAATTTCCTTGCATTGCTTTAGCCTCAAGACCCAACCCAAGCTGTATCCCTTGTCCTTCCCCCTGGAATTGTCAAATTTCAAGATGCAGAGCATGAAGCAGGCTCTGGTATAGTGGAGTGGACTGCACCAAATATGAACTGGAATCCATGGATAAACCAGCCAATGATTATTGAGGGAGCTGAGGAGTACCAAGTGAGTGTCACTTAAAAGTCAAGTCAACATTTAAGGATGTTTGCACCTATTGTTTCGGCATGTTGTTACTGTGCAACCACATAACTCATGCAGCAATGTCATGCCACATTTTTTATGCTTTGAGTGCTTGCTAAGGAAGAAAATAAAATAAACAAGTTGAAGGGTTTGCACTGGCTGCACTATCTTCAGTTTACTCTTTTAAATGGTTGGTGACCCTTCTTTTCTTTATTGATCACTTCCATTACTGATTGTCTCCATTTTGGCAAAAACAAAAAGAATCTAAACATAAGTAGAAAATCTGAACACAATAAAAATCAGAAAAAATCTGAGCATGGTATGTTGTCACATGTAATTGAATTTTTCTTCTTGTTCAGGTGCACATGACATACAACTATCTTTCTGTACTTAAGTGGAAGAATGATATAAGTTGGAAAATATATTGCTAAATAGTATGGCTAAATAGTTAACACATCCAACCGTATGAAGAGATCTTCATTCTACTTAGTTTGGCTAGAAATATTTCACCAGTGAGGGACATTTATCGGGATAGGGGTGCTCACTAGAATTAGTTGGCATTTACTACCAAAAAACATCTTTNTAAACTAGTTCACTGTGGTGTTGGGATTGGTTTTACAAGGTAGTATGTCTTCTTGTGATCTAGGAACCTATTCCAACAAGTCAGGATTACCTGAATGAGTACAGAGAGAAGCATCAAAATGTGGATATGTACCAGCGCATGTTGGAGCAGCGAAGTCAACTGCCAGTATTTCAGTACAAGGCAACACTGATTGAAGCCATCAAGAAGAACAGAGTGGTGGTTGTTAAGGGTGCAACTGGCTGCGGAAAAACAACACAGGTATAAAAGGGTTATTACCAGGGCTGCATATGATTGATACTCTGCATACAATTGACACTCTGGATTAGGAATATTACTGGCAATACTAGACTTCCACAACTATAATGATGAAGAATTTCTTAGGAACAGAGAGACAGAGAGAAGTCAGCGCTGAGGGTTTGTTGTCACACGCCATTTTTATCAAAAGAAAACTGAAAGGCAGATAACCGGGTTACAAGTACTTAGAAAGTCTTGAATTCTTGATGAAAAAAAGATTCAAAGGAGACATTGTTTTATTGTATTGTTCCTCTCTCTTGGTCTGAGGTGATGATGACACGCTATAGAAAATTCCTCCAAAGCTTACAAACACCATGTTCTCTAGCCTAACGAAATGATTTAAGTGTATACCACATTAACTTCATAACTTAATAACATCAATATTGCATCATGCCATTTCAGGTTCCCCAGTATATTTTGGATGATTATCTTGAGACAGGCTATGGTGCTGAATGCTGCATAGCAGTCACCCAGGTCAGTGATGACTAACTAACTTTGAACATACATGCATGCACTTTGTTCCTATATCCAGCATTCAAAACAAGTCACAGTTTTCGTTTAGAAGCCAGACAAGCAGCAAAATTCCACAAGTTTACCACAAGAAAAAGCTACCCAATAGTCTTCATATGAATTATCAGATGCGAGGGAATTCAAGAGAAGAGAACTACCAGAGAACTATCATTGGAATGATCTTGTAGAGTTATTAAAAGTTGCATAATGTTATTATACTTCTATTGTAGAACTACACTAATGAACACATGATTCACAAGCTGTCTGTGCTAAAGAAGTCAAGTATATAATTATCTAAGAAATGTACTGTCTGTTGCTCAACATTTCTGATAGTTTTTGAGCAATGTTGGAATAAGCCTTTACCATGAATTCCAAAACTGCTAGAACCATCCATGTAATCCCATTTAACATGAAAACAAGTTGGTTTTGTGAATTTGTCAAACAGCCCAGGCGTATCAGTGCTGTGAGTGTAGCAGAAAGAGTGGCAGCTGAAAGAGCTGAGATACTAGGCAGCAGTGTTGGTTACTCAGTCAGGTTTGACACTGTTCTACCAAGAAGCCATGCCTCCATGTTGTTCTGTACAGTGGGTAAGCTTGTATTATTATATCTTTCATCTTTTAGGCCTACAGTATAAAAATATTTTAATTATTAGTTTTTCATTGGCTTGAATTTGTTTAATAAGAAAATGCCATCATCACCTTGTTAATGTGCACTTTCACTACTGAGTTACAGTATCTCAACCAGAAGCCATCAGTGGCTTCAAGTATCATTGTCCTTCTTCACACAGTCACAAGGAAGAGACGCAGACATAACAAGATTGCATACATTTTAATGTTCATTTACAGTAATTACCTGCCAAAAACAGCCAAGTGTTGACCGTTTGCTGTTTTTTCACTATTGTCTTACAGGGGTTCTTCTCAGGAAACTTGAAAATGGTCTTCATGGCATTTCTCATGTTGTTGTGGATGAGATTCATGAGCGTGATATAAATGTAAGTTTTAAAAGATGGCACAGGACAATATCTTGTGACTCATTTAGCGGTAGTTGTTCAGTAAAATATATATTGGCAACCTCAAGATGGTTGTCATTCGGTACAGCATTTAGGAGTAACATCTGAACACAAAAAATTCAGTAAAAATACCTTACAAACTGGCAGCTGGGCAACCTTCACACTTCACATCATTACAACTTACATTATTCATCTGAATGTTAAGTGTGCGGTAATGTGTACATTAGACCATATTTATGTGTTGTCGGATTCAGCACTTGTGTCTGTGCAGCTGGGTCAGAGGTTGATTTTACATGATTTATTTACATACTAAAAGATCACCTTCTTTACTACAGACTGACTTTGTTCTGGTGATCTTACGCGACATGATTCAAGCTTACCCAAACTTGCGAGTTGTTCTTATGTCGGCCACCATTGACACCCAGATGTTTACAGAATACTTTGGTAACTGCCCCATTGTGGAAATAGAAGGAAGGTCATTTCCTGTTCAAGGTATTATATCTCTTCTATAATGTCACAGTTATTTTTCTCAGTAGGAATGAGAAGCTGTTGTGAGCTGTTTCTACACCCAACTGATGCTAAAACAGGCATATGTAGTTTTAACTCATTGTCTGTCATATTACAGAGGCGAGTAGAGTGATTAAAATTGTTAAGGTACCCATGCTGTACGGCTGTGTTTTGATAAACTGATTTAATCGCAGGGGATTTTTTTTCTCTTCTACTTGCATAGAATATTACTTAGAAGATGTGATCCAGATGTTGAATTTTGTTCCACCCCTTCCTGAGAAAAAGAAAAAGAAAGAGGACATTGATGATGATGAAGAGGTGAGATTAACATGCTGAAAACCAGCAATGTAATTTGATATGTCCCCTCGAGTTTGTCGCTTAGAACGTATCACTAGTCTGCAGATGTTCATAGAACGAATTATACATTGGATTTGCGTGAATTGTTCTTGCTTTGTCTGCACAGGCGTTTCATTATAGCGAGTGTAGTTTGATTTGTTTCTGCAAGCTTCTTTAAAAAAACGCATCACTTGTCTTCGTACATTTATAGAACGAGGTACATACATTGCATGGGTTCTTGTTTTGTTTGCATGCGTAGTTTTCTTTTGTCTGCACACGAGTTTCGCTAAAACGTATCATTAGTCGAGTTGACTCAAATCTTCAAGAAGTTTTTGAAGAACGGCTTGTGTTATTGGTGGCGACTCGACGACATTTCAACCCCCTCCCCCGCCCCACAATTCTTTAACGCGGTATGACCATTCACGATTAGAATTCCGGTGATTCATTGTAGTCAGACTTTCTGGAGGGTATGTCAACTTCTGTTGAGGGTAGCTTCATGAATTTCACGACATGGCTTTTGCCAAGACGACTCGTCGATAGATAGTGATTGGAGATGACTCAACTCACTTTGAGATATTGGTCATGGATGAATTCAATTCAGGCAGCTACATGTAGTGCTCTGCTTAATTTTTTTTCTTTCTGTATAAATAATTTCAATATTATTTTTAGGACAAAAAAATAAGGTTGTTTTTGTCACACACAACCCAATACAGCACGTTTTTCTGGTTTTCCTTAGGAGAACTGTAACTTAATATGCAGTGATGACTACTCGTTCCAAACAAAGAATGCTCTGGCACAACTGAGTGAAAAAGAAATGTCTTTTGAGCTTGTTGAGGTAATTGTGTTTGTACAATGAATAGAAATAGTTCTGTGTGTTGACAATGCGGTTTTAATTCCTTGCCTAGTAGATTTGTAGTTGAAGAGTACATATACAACCAGAGTATTGCTTTTAGACGTTGCTCCATCAAATCTCCATTGGTTGCCATCTGGTTGTTTGCAGATTCTTCGGGGTAGTGCATCATGCTTAATTGACAGTTAAGACGTAATCCGATAGAAAATCGAGCAATTTCAGGTTCAAGTGGACAAAAATCTGGTACTAGAATAATGTTAAGTATTTTACAGTCATTTTTAAACAAATAATTGCCAGAAATAACACCGAAAACAATTTCCTATGGAAACAAGAGAAAATAAATTTCAAAGTTCGGAGAACTTGTGTAAACACGGGCAAAATTTCATCATCAGTTTCATTTCACCAGTACTTTCAAGTGTTTCATACGAAGTTCAACATTCGTTTTCGACGTTTGATGTTGCTAGAAATGATTTTTTTAGCAGATATTTAAAACAGTCGTACAGAAGTTTCCAATACGATGTATATAATCTTGGTACTAGGTTTTGTCAACTTGTCACTCAAACTTCTGGTGGATTCCGTCTTAATGTTTCTCTCCACTTTTTCCGCGTTAAAGGAAACAGAAGACGTCTCCACACAGGCTAACATCTCAAGAAACACGCTGATACCGTATATAAAATAGTTTAAAAAGTTTGCGGTGAAACTTCACAGTAAGGCTAGAGGGAAAACGTGGTAGATCTGTTAGTTATACCTCCTATAAAGAGGGAACTCGACAATGTGGATCTGAAGTAAATTGTGTTTCGATACTGTTATTGAACATGCAGGCTCTACTGAACTACATATCTGGCCTGAACATCCCTGGAGCTGTGCTCATTTTTCTTCCTGGATGGAATTTAATATTTGCATTGCACAAGCACCTGAAGATGCATCCACAATTTGGTAAGACCAAGAGTGATCCACGTCTTATTCCTCCTTAATAGACTGTCAGATAGTAGGGTGTTGAGAAGAAAGAAAATCACCAGCAGGTCATATATTGTTTACTAAAAAGTTCTAAATGCATTCGTTACAGTTTTAAAAAATATAGGTTTTTTTCCGCCAAAGAAAAGTCGATTTTTTTCCACAAAATAAGTTTTGCTATTTCTTCTGCAGGTATAAAGCATTTTTGGATTTGACTTTCATCACATCCAGGGGGGAAATAAAGTAATTTTTGTCTGTTTATGTTACAAAAGTGTTGTCTAAGAGAAACGTTTAACAATACCTGACACATTTTGCACATTCCACTATAGCTGACAGAATATCAGTTTAGTGAGAGAAGGACTTATCTTCGACCACAATGGGTACTAGAAGCCTTGTTTCCCTTCTGATGTTGTAATTTCTCCGTCCTTTCAGGTATCAGTAGTAAGTATCGTCTACTTCCTCTGCATTCACAAATCCCAAGAGAAGATCAGCGGAGAGTGTTTGAGCCTGTACCAGAAGGAGTTACAAAGGTAATTATCAGATGCAAAGTCTGGGAAGCGGATCCGCTTTTCATGCAGGATTATGGCACTAGTGGTAGGCGTGGTGGCTTAATGGTTCCAGTGATCAAGCGAGTCAGGTTTGAGCACTGGCAGGGGTTCATTGTGTTGTGTTCTTGTGTGAGAAACTCGACTCTCGCAGTGGCTCTCGCCATCCACAGGTATAAATTGTCAGGGGAACCTGATAGTGTGCTGGAGGTGGGGGTTGGTGGTGGCCTGCTTTGGACTAGCATCTCATCCAGTAGCAATACCCCAGGTCGCTTCATGCAATTGAAGCTGGGATGATAAGCTCTGGTAGTGTGGGACATTTAAGTCTGGCGTTAGCTAACTAATGAAGTTTGTTGCGGTGTCTTTCAGATCATTCTTTCCACCAACATTGCTGAGACAAGCATCACCATTGATGATGTTGTATTTGTCATTGATTCCTGCAAGTAAGTCGCTAGTTTAGCATGGTTAGCTAATTAAACTGACTTAAATGTCCATAATTTAGAAACAGCAAGCAACGTTTATTCGCCACAGAAATTAAAAATGTTGTTCTCGTCTCGTAGTTAGTAAGCAACTGTCCGAACAGCGATGAAATAAAAACCTTCGAGTGCTCGTCAGGCTGATGTTTGACTGGATTTTTGAAATCGGTAACTTTACTTGCACTCCAACGGAGATTCGCGGTGACCGGCACTTGCTTCTCTGAGTACGTGGTGTTAATGGGCAATCCCAAAGGGAAGCTTAACAGAAATGCCATCTAACTACCATCATTGAACCCATAATGCGGATGGTTTAAAATAGAAAAATGTCATTGGAGCAAATAACAAGCGTAATTTTAGTTTTCCTTCTGGAGGGCGTCGTCTGAATCTGATATACCGTCTCTCGTCTGTCATTTGTCTTCCGTCGCCCATCATTTATCATCTTTCAACCTTTAGTAAAACCATTTTACTTCTTGTAGCAACGGCACTGACAATGTGACACTAATGGAGTTTTTTCGTTGTTTTCGTTGTCAGAGCTAAAGTGAAGTTATTCACATCACACAACAACATGACAAATTACGCCACTGTCTGGGCGTCCAGGACTAACATGGAACAGAGGCGAGGTCGCGCGGGCAGAGTAAGGCCTGGGTTTGCTTTTCAACTGTGCAGTAGAACGCGTGCTTCAAGGTTAGTTGGCCGGAAACTGGGGATAAGGAAGTAAAGAGTGACTACTTTGTTGATAATTCCTGCCTTCTTTGTACTTTGTTATGACAAATTCAATCTGATTACCGAAGGAAAGATGTCGAGGAAAATTATACAAAATTTTAGAAACACAGTGGTATTCTTTGTTGTTCTGCGTAAGCACAGATCACCGCCACCTTTTACACCTAGATGGTCACACTAATTGCGATTTTGCAATCCAGTTTTAAGTCTTCTATTTTATTTCGATTTGCCTATTGCTATTTTCAAGTAGTTTGGTGTTTGGCCGTTTGGCTATCCTTTCTGAAGTATTCAGTCTCTTTTGAGGTTTTGTGACGAGTATTTGTAGGTAACGAAACCAGAATGCCTTTAAGAAACACTAGGAAAGACAACTGGAAACACCTTCGTAATCAGTTTTTATTTGCCACAGACTTGCTGAGCACGCCACACCTGAGATCCTGCGTACACCTCTTCATGAATTAGCTCTGACCATCAAGCTTCTCAAACTTGGAGACATTGGAGAGTTCTTGAACAAAGCCATTGAACCTCCTCCTCTGGATGCTGTAGCAGAATCAGTTGCGCTCTTGAAAGGTAAGGAGGAACCTTTCTTGTTGGTAATAAACACTTTTCGATAGGCGAGGTATAGTCTGTCCACAGACGTTTCTTTGTCTTTTACTGCGGAGCGCGAGAGAAGCAGGCGAAAACAAAATTTCTCCCCAGCCCCACTCCCTTGAGTTTTAGCGCGTTAATCCAACGCGCTGTGTGAATATCTCCCTGAGCGTGCGATCTCGACGAACTCAAGACAAAATAGACGGTCTGTGGACAGATCACGCGAGGTAAAAACTTAGCTTATTGTCTTGTAGTTAATGAGATGTTGATAAATATGCTATGCTGCCCATTACAGAAGCTACGGTTCGGATGACGCATGTTGACAAAAAATAAAATTGTCTTTCGCAATCCGTCTCAATCTTCACCAATCCTAACCATCCTTGTTCCACTGTAGTTTATTATTACCTATGAAGTGTTTTTCTTTCTTAGTAAATTGTAATTTTATTGGGGGAGGGGGGGGGGGGGTTATATGAAGGCAATTTTGAAAGTTTTTTTTAAAAAAATGACTTTAAATTTCGCTTTCCTTGGTCCATAGATATGGAAGCTTTGGATAGAAACTTAAACCTGACACCCCTTGGCTATCTATTGGCCAAGTTACCTATTGAACCACGACTTGGCAAGATGATCATTCTGGGATGTATATTTTAGTGAGTATAAATTTGAATGGTGCTTCAAGTGTTCATGTGCCACACTTTCTTTTGCTTATTTACATAACAGTTTTCCCCAAATAGTAGTTTTCACTTGCCGTAAGTATTAAGTATCTAAGCATTTTGAGTTTGTTTTGCATTCCACGTTTCAGATGAATTCTTGTGCTGGGGCTCATAATTGTGTCGCTAATAAATACCAGGCTTTGCTTGTATCTTGATGTATTTTTCGTTATTCACCCCTCAGCTGTGGTGACGCCATGTGTACTATAGCTGCAAGCACCAGTTTCCCTGAACCGTTTGAAACACCATCTGACCGCAGGAGACTGGGCTGGGTACACAAACAGTTTGCTGGCTCGCGTCACAGTGACCACATTGCGTTACTCAGTGCGTACCAGGCTTGGGAAGATGCCAGGTAAGCTGAAGAAATTGTATTCAAAAACATTTACCAATAAGCTCATGTTGTACAGTGGAACAGACGTTCAAAGAATTTGCCATTTCTGCACGGCCCGCGGAGAAGATGGACATTGCGCCCTCTAAAGTGGAAGTGCCTCATTGCATGTCTGCATGGCCAAACTTTTGGAATCTTATTTGCCGTCAGTTCGGCGCATTATGTAGCTTTGTTTTCTTGTTGCAGGTCGGTGGAAGACGAATCTGCAGAGTATCACTTTTGCGAGAGTCATCAGTTAAACATGTCAACTCTGCGCATGACATCAGAGGCCAAGGTAAGAGGGCTTCAGTCATACCATTCGTGTACAGGCTACCACACGTGCCATCAATCCCAGCTTTAACGTTCGTACACTCTATATCGCACAAATTCCTGTGACGCTTGCGTATGGTCCTACCCACTGACTATTTACCAAATGAATGGATTTTTTTCAACAGCTTCAGCTTAAAGATCTTCTCTGCAATGCTGGCTTTCCAGATGGTAAGTGTAGAAAAGGCAAATTTTGTGCTTTTTGTTAGATCACTGACCGGGTTTGCTGTTTGTTCATGTCACATCTGATTGGTTTTCCCTCGAAACAAAATAACATTCTACGAAAAATTTTGGTGTTCAAAGTTTTTCTGTTCTCATTGCACTCACGATTAATTAATTGTACGCAAATGCAGCTAAAAGCTCAAGTTGACTTTCTTTCGTCGTGGAGGTGGCTTTAATACTAACCTGTAGTTTGTATTCTTGACAGAATGCATGCATCCTCAGCCATTCAACTACAGTGGTCCTGACTCCAAGCTGGATATGGTATGAACCTCTGATTTATAGTTCATGGAATGGCATACCCAGTTAACGACCAGTATAAATAATGTGTTAGAGGAATTTAGAATAAACCAGTCGGAAATAACATTCGAGACGGCGTTTCGGGTGAGTTTACAAAGACTAGAGCCCCAAGTCTGTTAGTCTGACACTCCGCAAATGCAATTCTCTTTCGCTGCTGTCTTTGTGATCGTCACGAGAAGCTTGTTTGACACCCACCTAAACGAAAGGGAACTAACATTTGGCTTAGTAGTAACCTGGTTGTTTCTTTTCAGGTGGTAGCTCTGCTGTGCCTGGGTATGTACCCCAATGTTTGTGTTCACCGAGAGAAACGGAAGGTGCTGACAACAGAAGGCAAGGCTGCGCTGATCCACAAGTCTTCCGTGAACTGTTCTAACAGAGAGCAGACTTTTCCTACTCCTTTTTTCGTGTTCGGAGAAAAGGTAAGCGACCTTCAGTACACTTGCGGGTCACTCCAAAGTTTATCCGGTCGTTTCTTCACTTTAAGGTCATTCTCCAGTATTGCATTGCGCATCCTTACTGCGTATAATTTCACGCGTGATTAGCGCGCGCGCATTAAAAAATGGCGGC